TCTTTTTCCTTTCAATCATTGAACAGGTATTTCTAAGCACCTCCTGTGTGCCAGGCACAGAGGGTATTCAATAGGAAATAAGCCTTATCCCATTCCTGAATTCTTAGTTCCCCCAGGTCCCACCACCCAACAAAGGCCACCGTAATCCTGATCTCTTGTTTCATTTCAGAGATATTCTGCACATATACAGGATATATTTGTGTGTGTATCTTCTCATTTTTGTTAATCCAAGTGATAGCATACTGAACATCTCCTGTCTTGGAGAGTATTCCAGACCACCCTGATTTTTACTGTGTGGGATAACATTGTATGGTTGGATGATTATCTTATTAGCACCCTGTTGGTGGACATTTGAGTAATTCCCAGGGTTTTTTCCCTTCTGTTTCTGTGGCCTTACTGTCTTTCTCCTGCCTTGCATTTCTATTAACACATTGGTTTTGTTTCCTATCCTCAATGATTCTGAGAAACTGGGTTCAACACCACCTTCATGGAGACCCTCACCCTTGTACGTACTTTCTGATAGATCCAGGCAAGTATAAGTAAGTTAAATTTACTCAACAAGACCTTATCTTTTTACCCCACAAACTCTTTGTGATTAGCTCGTTGGTCATGAACCACAGCATCCACTTCTTTAAATTGCAGGGACCTTGAGGAGCACAGACTCAGTTTGACAGACATCATACCTGTCGTCTGGGTCTCTGTCACTTCAGGTTGCCCAGACTGCTCACACTGCCGGGACAGAGCTCAGGAGTGTCCTTTTGTTCCCAGACCACAGTGGCCTCCTTTTCCTTTGAATGCCCTTGCTCTTCCTGTGTGATTTTATTTCCACTATAATGTAGAGACCTTTGAAGATCAGTTGAAGCACATTAACTTCAAATATATCATAATTAGCTCACTCCCTTTTGGTATGGCTCTATAAAGTTACCTGGTTTCATTTCTGGAAACCTTAACTGTCAAAAGGTTGCTTTCTCACACTTGGTCATAAAAAATAGGAAGCCCCTTCCTAACTTAAGCCTTTAGAGACGTCGAGGTAACCTTGACCGCTGTTGTTGCTTCAGCTGCATCTTCTGCTGTCTGTTGTTTCTGTCTTTGTGTTGACGTTACCATGCTCTGCCTCTGAGGTTTGCTTTCCCTTTCTGTTGTTCCTCTGTCTTCATTCTAATCCCCCTACTCTTCCTGTCTGTGTGTCTGTTTTCTTTAAAGCAGTTTCTTCTGGAGAGCTTGTGGTTTCTTTGACTATTTCAGTTTATGCCCCAGCAGCATAATCTACTATTGTCTTTAGTTATTTCCTCAGGTGGTTAGTTGATGAGCTCCTTATTCTGGCAGTAAATAAAATCACATTTTAAAATGTTTCAGAGAAATATCCTCTTTTTCTTTTTTAATTTTCAAAATTTTGCAATGTTAAAGGTCATTTTTAAATTGTCTTTTTTCCCCACTGTTTACAAAATTTCCAAGGCTCAACCACTGAATTATTTATTTTTCTCATTGATTACTTTATTACCACTTTAAAAAATTCCACAAATATTTAGTAAATCTCCGTCATGTGCTGGACACTGTAGGCCCTTGAAGACACAGACCAACTCCCTGTCCTCTAGGAATTCTAGGGAAGGTGGACCATATGTGTAATATTTGTTTGTTTGTTTGTTTGTTTGTTTATTGGAGACGCAGTCTCTGTCACCCAGGCTGGAGTACAGTGGTGTGATCTCGTCTCACTGCAACCTCTGTCTCTCAGGTTCAAGCAATTCTCCTGCCTCAGCCTCCTGAGTAGTTGGGATTGCAGGTGCCTGCCGCCACGCCCAGCTAATTTTTATATTTTTAGTAGAAACAGGGTTTCACCATGTTGTCTAGAACTTTTTACGTCAAGTGATCTGCTTGCCTCAGCCTCCCAAAGTGCTGGGATTACAGGCGTGAGCCACTGCACCCAGCCATAGATGGAGCATATGTTCTAGAGAAAATTGAACAGGAAGAGGGAGCAGGGAGTTCACAATGGGATATGGTTTTACATAAGGTCATCAGAGAAGAAGCTCTTTGGGAAGAAGCCATTTGAGTAATACCTTGAAGGAAATGATGGAGCAAGTACTGGGGATTTATTGAGGGAAGACTGTCCCGTGTGGTGGGAGTTGCCAGGGCTCCTCCCAGCCAAGAGCATCCTCTCAGGAGGTGCATGCCCAGAACAGCAAAAAGTCTACCACAGCTGGAGTGGAGCAAGTGGAGGAAATAGGTCAGAGAGGCTCCCAGGAACCTTTTTAAGCCTGAGGCCTTTTAAGCCATTGCAGGGATTTTGGCTTTACTCTGAATGAGCTGAAGAGCCACCGGACAGATATGAGAAGATGAGTGAGTCATACGTCTTAGGCTGTGATGCGTTACTGTCACATAATCTTTCAAGAGAGTGTGTTACTAAGCCTTTGTTGTAGCTCATCTTGCAGTAAATCTTTCTGCTCAATTAGAAGGAAGAACTAGTGATAAATGACTCAATATTTTCTCTCCCTTCAACATCCCAGATCTGTTGTGTAAATGCAAAGATCATTATTACTGTTAATGTGATTATTTAATAAGCCACATGTCTAGGTAACCAAAAGCCATCAAAAATTTTAGGCCTTCTGCAAAATCCGTCCTGATTTAAAGTATTTATTTACAACTTATTTTGGTACTTCAAAAAAAAAAAAAAAATGAGAAGCTGAGGTTTAGAATGAAAAACATTTAAATTTAAAGGCTATGAAAAGAAAACTTAAAAAAGTAAAATTGTGTAGGAAGAAGTAGCAATCCATATAGATGACTATTGTGAAGTGATTTACCACTCAATTTACTCATAAGCTCAATTCATGGTAACAAAACTAACAAGGAAAACAACAAATGACGTAACTATCTTTGTCTGATTTTTCCAGACCATAGCACTCGTCTGTGTACTTCTTATTCTAGTGCAGGCTATCCTGTGAAATATGTTTTATAACACCCTTTTTCTTCACAAAACAATAATTACTTTCTGAAAATAAACTGGTCAATATAAATTTCAACTGATTTCTACTAGGTTGCTTATTTAGAGGGGTGTCATTTCTGCTGAAAGAATCAACTTGCTGCTAAAATTGTTAATTCAATCACCATAGGCATTAAAATCAAGGTTATTTCACGTTTTCTTTTTTGTTTTTTGAGAGGGAGTCTCACTTAGGCTGTCGCTCACGCTGGAGTGCAGTGGCACAATCTCAGTTCACTGCACCCTCTGCCTCCAGGGTTCAAGGAATTCTCCTGCCTCAGCCTCCTGAGTAGCTGGGATTGCAGGCACCTGCCACCATGCCCCTCTAATTTTTTTGTGTTTTTTAGTAGAGACCGAGTTTCACCACATTGGCCAGGCTGGTTTCTAACTCCTGGCCTCAAGTGTTCCACCCACCTCGGCCTCCCAAAGTGCTAGGATTATAGGCGTGGGCTACCATGCCTGGCCAATTTTACAATTTCAGTTGTCTGTTTCACTAGATTGTCTGCTACCTACCTTGTATCCTCTGAACAGATAGTCTTCAGTCCCTTAACCACGAGTTCTAAAATGTAAAAACTCTGAAAACAGAAGTTTATCAAAAGTTGGGGACCAAACTCATTCGGAAGCAAAAACTTGAACTGAAATAAGACAATTTTAAAATCTTCATTTGTCTTGCTTGTGAATATTTGCATATTTTGCTACAGAAGTGGTAACAGGTTCAATTATGGGTGCCTTGCTGATTCTGCTGGGAGTTATGTAACATTTGATATATGCATCTTACTACTTTCCAAAATTTGAAAATGTGAATTCCAAACCGTCTATCTTTCTCCAAAAATTTCAGAAAAAGGATTGTGAGCTTGCAGTAGCCAATCCTTGGAATAATAATAATTGGAATAATGTAGGTACCTAGTAAATGTGAATTGAAGTTTGATTAATATGAGATACTTAGAAATTAGAAATTTTTCTGCACCCAGGTCCTGTGACCTTGAGACCTCAGAGAATAAAATAGATAATTCAGTCTTCAGAAGCAAGGCACCAAAATGTTTCCTTTATTGTTCTCTTAAGGTAGGAGTAATTGGTCTTGTAGGTCAGGCTAATAAATCCAGAAAGAATGAAATGTTATTCTATCAGTTAAATTTTTCCTATTCGTATCCTAGAAGGTGCTTTTTGTGCCATTCACATACGTTTCATGTTGTCTCTGTGTCTTCACTTATCACTTTGTATCTTTTTGTTTTTGTTCCATATTTTTTAAAGGTGTCACATCAGCTTTTTTCATACTGGTGATTTAATTGCAAAAGCACACATAAGCAGTTTGAAAAGTGTGAGAAGAAATTCGCAAGTCACATGGGGAAACAGCAACAAAGCTAGCATTCAGTCTGGAATTCGTCCACCGTGCAAAGCAAATTGCACGGCCAGTGGGTCAAATGGTGTATTCTGAAATTGAGTGAAAAGTGAGCTTGATACAAGAAACGCTTGTTTCATACAAAGGATACAGTGGGAAATATCAAGATGAATTGAATATAGGCTTTACCCTCACAAAGCTTAAGCTTAATTGGGAAAGCAGAACGTGTATATAAAATAAGAAAATACATAGCACAACATTCCAGACGAGGGCCTTTGCATCTCAAGAGATTAGGAAAGAAGGTGGGGTTTCCCCTGCTTGTGAAAATGAGTGGGGACAGGTTAAATGGAGAGGATGGACTTGTGGAATACATGGATGAGAAGGATGGAATCTTCACTGTCAAGCAGTGTTGAGTAGTAGAGATACACATAAACACATAAATTATTACAGAAAATGGTAAATTGCATATCAGGAGCTAGGGAGCCATAGAGGAGTATAGTGATCCTTTGGGAAGGTAGGCAGGAAGTGATCTTCAAGTTGGTCTTGAGGGACACAAGAGTTTGTCCAGAAGAGTTGGAGATAGGTCAAGGAATCTGCTCTGGGCAGAATAAATAAGATGCTTGTTGTTTGAAGTCTCACTAATAGGACAGTTACATATAGTAACTCTTTATGTTTTATTTTTCATTGCAGGTGAATCAAACATCCCTTCTGGAACAATACAGAGTAAGAAGGGTTTGCAGAATAAGAGTCAGTTTAGGACCATTGCACCCAAAATTGTGCCCAAAGTCCTAACGTCCAGAATGGTGCCATGTCATTCTCCATCACTCTCTGATCAGGTGAATCTGGGATCCTCCTTCAATTCCAAGCCGCTGGGGATGTCTCCCCAGAACTATGCTCTGATGCAGGTTGCTGGCCAGGAGGGGACATTTTCTCTTGTTGCTCTGCCACATGTTGCCTCAGCCCAGCCCATTCAGAAACCCAGAATGTCCCTACCTGAAAATGTGAAACTTCCTATTCCTCGATATCAACCCCCAAGAAATAGCAAAGGATCAAGAAAGAAACCCCGCCTGATCTTTCCTAAGAGTGGCTCTAGCAAAGCTCCTGCCCAAACCCAAATGTGTCCTCAGATGTCTCCTTCCCCACCTCACCACCCTGAACTCCTTTGCAAACCCAGTCCATTCGAGGAAGTGCCATCACTAGAGCAAGCCCCAGCCAGCATTGGTACAGCTGCACTGACCAATGGAAGTGACCATGAGGACTTGACACCACCAGTGACCAACACCCATGGCAGTCCGAACCCTCCTCCCACCTCAGCATCATCCACACCAGAGGAGCCTGCCAAGCAGGACCTCACAAATCTTTCGGGGAAAGCATACTTTGTAAGCAAGAAAACATCTAGTAAACCTTCTGCTGTTGCCAGTGAAAAACTTAAACAACAAGTTGATCTTGCAGAAACCATGACCAGTTTATCAGCAACCATTCTTGGCAATGCAGTTCAGTTTATCTCTTCAGTCCCCAGAGGGAAACTGCCAATACCACCCTACTCAAGAATGAAGACAGCAGAGGTTTACGAAACCAAATCAGATACTAACGTCACAGGTTATTCTTTACCAGGACCTAAGGCAGACTGTGATAAGATGCCCTCCACCACAGAAGGCTTTAGTGCAGCCACCAAAGTGGCAAGCAAGATGCCTGTTCCACAAGTGTCACAGCAGAGTCTCTGTGAAAGTGCCTTTTGTCCACCCACCAAATTTGATCTCAGCCACAACACGAAACTGAACAGTGGAGCAGCAAAGAGAAAAGGAAGAAAACGGAAGGTACCAGATGAAATGTTGGCATTTCCAGGAAGAAGGAGGAAATGTATCATTAATAAATGTAGAGATGGTAAAGAAAGAGTAAAAACTGATCCCCAAGAATGCAGAGACCAAAAGCCAGAGGCCATGAAGAAATATCGTAGCATTATGCCCAAACCTATCATGGCCATATCCACCTTGGCTCCCCTGGCTTCTCCAACTACATTGCAATCCCAGATGCATGGGGGCCTAGGTCAGGACGTTTTGTTAAATAATTCACTCACTCCTAAATACCTCAGCTGTAAGCAGGACAACAGCCCTTCCCCTAAGCCCAGCTCTGTGTTCAGAAATGGATTCTCTGGCATTAAGAAGCCTTGGCACAGATGTCACATCTGTAACTACCACTTCCAGTTCAAACAGCACCTTCGAGACCACATGAATACACACACCAACAGACGGCCTTACAGCTGTCGGATTTGTCGCAAGTCCTATGTACGTCCTGGCGGCCTGAGCACACACATGAAACTTCATCATGGCGAGAACCGTCTGAAGAAACTCATGTGTTGTGAGTTTTGCGCAAAAGTGTTTGGTCACGTCCGAGTCTATTTTGGCCATCTGAAAGAAGTGCATAGAGTTGTGATCAGCACTGAGCCCGCAACCAGTGAACAGCAGCCCGGAGACATACCAAAGAACAGAGACCCGAGTGTGCGAGGCGCAGAGGGATCGTCGGAGAGGTGAGTACTGACGGGATGGAAGCCCAGCACGACAGCCTGTTTGGATTTGGGGAAGAGGGGAAGATTTCATATTCAGAAAGAGTTTATAAAACATCTCTTGGATTAAGATTTCATATAGCAGCTATCTGTACCTCTCAGTTCTGTGAAGAAGAATCTCGTTTCTCTCTGGTTTCTGATCATCCATGATTGTCATTACCCTAATCTAGCTGGTAAATTATTGTATATAGTTCCAGAGGTCTTTACAAGTAATTTCTCCCAAAATCACATTCACAGAATTTGCAACATTTTAAACAGCATCATTTGCCCCAAAATGCGGCATGACCCTTGGTGGGGACTCAGAGTGGGTGGGTCTGTCACGTTGACCCTACCTTAAGGTGGCTACACCCCACCGTCTTCATTTGCCGTGTTTTTCTTATCAGGTCGGGTTAGCTCTTTCTGGTGTCATTCCTTTTTGCAGGCACTGATTCCTAGTGTTTTTGTTAGGGATCCTTGGGGTGTCGTTTCACCAGCTGGAAACCTCTGTGGCCAGTGGCGCCGTAGCCTGAGTTCTGCTCTGGCCCACTAGGCTCATTCCACCCACTGGGCCTGGCAGAGTGCACTCGGCTTACGCTGTCAGCCTAGATCACATGCCTGCCAAGGGCGAGCCAGGCACCGAATGGTGAGGGGTGTGTGAGCGAGCATGGGTTCTGGCCACTGCACATAGGCAGGCACGCCAGCTGCTGCTGCAGGGCAGGGGGCTCCAGGTGCCAGCTCCCTGCAAGCCCATGGCTGGACCAGGCATATCACAAGCAGCTTCCATGGCTGGCACCGGGAACACAGTGTTGCCCAGAAGCTTGGATACCCCGGTAACCACAGGGCCCCAAGGAGGGAGTCAAGGCCCTGGCTCAGGGAGCTCCCAGGTCTGAGCTTCCCAAAAGGACACAGTTTTTCTCTCCTCTTCACCTACAATGTGGTAAGCAAGGGGTGGTTTCAGCCTGTTTGTGTTACAGCTCTCTTAGCCCCACCATTTGGCAGGTCCCAAGTTCTTATCCTGCATTCGGGAAGAATGAGGTACACAGACAAGTGGAGGGTGAGCAAGATGAGGAGCTTTATTGAGCAATAGAACAGCTCAGAGTTGAACTGCAGGGGGCAGTTCCTTTCTGTACTCAGGTTGTCCCGATGAGCATTCAGCTCTTAGCAGAGAGGGTAGCTCTCTGCCGCCGGTCGTCCCATTGTCTTTTCAAGTCTGGCTAAGTCCAGGGCTTTTATGGGCCTCAGAGGGGAGGAAGTGCATGCCGGTTGGTCCATGGGTGGTCACAGACAGGCCCAGAAAAGCACCACAGGTTCCCACTCCGGTCCACATGACTGACAGCCTGGCCCCCAAGCTTCCCTGGCTTGAAGGTGGGACTTCACCAGGGACCTGCCCCTTTCCACTCAGGAGCTTTTCTGCCTCCTGCTTCTGTTTATGGCACCCAGGCTGTTCGTGCTGAGGGGCACCTGCAGGCCAGCACCCAGCTATCCTCAGTGCCCTCTCGTCAGCCTCCCTCCCATGCTCATTGCACCCAAAATCCGGAGCCGACTGAGGTGGTAGGGGCTGGCATGTCAGTGCCGCCTCAAGTGTGTGCACACCCAGCCAGGTTACAACAGTGTCCAGGCTCAGCCCCAACCTTGCTTTAAGATTGGAGCAGCTGCTGACAGCAGAGAGAAGCCAGGCAGCAGGAGCAGGCACTTCTGAGCCTGTGTGGGAAAAGGGGCCTTCCCAGACCCCTGAGAGTGCAGAGATGCCTGGATCTGCAGCCACAGGAGGGTGGCTACAGTGACGCTTGGGAGGGCAGGAGGGTTATCACCTGCTCCCAGCTTCCAATAGCACAGGGGTGCCGGGTCACAGCTGCGGCTTGGGCAGCTGCAGTTGCACCTGGGAAGCTCCCACCCCGCCAGCCTGGAAGGGGCAGGGCTGCCGCTCAACCCCAGCTCCCACTTGGCTACATGGAGCGAGACACTGCCCCCGGCCCAGCTCCGCTTCAGGGCCACTCGCTCCGCACTCCTCCCTGCCCCACTGTGCTGTTTCCCCTGCTGGCAGGTGACTCACCCTGGCCCCATCATGGCAGCTCCCAGGACAGTGGGCTTCAGGGACTGCCCACCTCCCCTCCACGTTTTCACCACAGCAACAGCAGGCGAGGTGCAGGCGGCATGGTGGCCCTGGCCAGCCCCACACAGGTGAACCCCATGCTCTCAGGGCCAACCCCGCAAGTCCTGGCTACACCTTCAGACGGGTGCTTGCTGGCTCCCGAGATGTGGCAGGGAACAGGGTTGAGGCCAGAGCAGAGGCCCTAGGCCTGGGAGCAGGTCCTGCCCGGCCATGTAAGGATGGGGATAGCACAGTCAGCTGCCTTGGGGACATGGGGCACAGGGGTCCCCCCACCACACTGCTGCCCCTGCAGCCCCTTCTGCCACCGCCTCGCACCTCCTTGCTGCAGCCTGCTTGATGGCAGTGGCCACTCCAGATGGCCTGCGCCTGCCATCATTATAAACAAATAGGCTAAGTAATTTGGAAGCCTGGCAGGCAGGCGTGAGAGCAGCCATGAAGCTGGAAAACGGCTCAGTTTGGGTCGTGTGTATCTGTTTCCACGGAGGCGACTGAGAGTGTTTCATGGCATTAGCTCTCTTCAGCGTCATGAGAAGTAAGCCTCCAGGCTCTGCAATCCTGCCCCTTCTTTTCTTCAGTTGGCCCAGTTGCTCTCAGTACCTTCTATTCAACTTTGGCTCATTCTGTCATGTTCAATAAAAGTAAGGGCTACCTATCCTATTTCTCCTTGCTTTTCTATAGTTTCTCATTTTTCTTAGACATTTCTGTCCCCTTTAAGACCGCTGTGCCTTTCACTAATGAACAATGAAACCTCACTTCTTCCTTGTTTTCCTGTAGTTAGATTTTGATTTTTAGGTACAATGTCCAAATTACATTTGGTGCTCAAGGTTAGGGAGAGCCACAGCGGGTAGGGTGAGACTGTTACCTTCAAGAGAGCCAAAGCTGCTCTCGTACCCTTCATCCGCTCTTAAATGACTCTTCCACGTGATTGCTCCTGTCCCTGTGGTAACCGAGGACAAGTTAGCTCGCCTGGGACAGATGCATGAAGAGAAGGACTCTTACTAAATGAACCTGGTAGCTGGAGAAATGTGTGGCCACAAGCAGGAGTGACAGCTGGTGTTTACTGCGGTCCTTTGTCTTTTCAGGTGCTCTCTGTTTACCCCAGCCCCTGTCTTTCTCGTTGGTGTATATTTTAGATCCCTGAAGGCTGAGAACTGAGAGGGAAGGTTCCAATTGTGCTTTTCCATGAAATCTTATGTACACTATTTTTGTCCTTTTCAGGGAAAATAAGTCCAACCTGGAAGAAGACTTCCTTCTAAACCAGGCAGACGAAGTCAAATTACAAATCAAATGTGGCCGTTGTCAAATTACTGCTCAGTCTTTTGCGGAAATAAAGTTTCATTTGCTCTATGTTCACGAAGAGGAGATTCAGGGCAGGCTGCAAGAGGGGACCTTCCCAGGAAGCAATGGGACTCAGGAAGAGCTGGTGCAGCACGCTAGCCCCAGCTGGAAACGGCATCCTGAGAGAGGGAAGCCGGAGAAGCCTCATTCCTCCAAAGAGGAGTCACACGCATGCCCGAGACTGAAAAGGCAGCTCCACCTTCCTCATCAGAACGGCATGGAAATGCTCATGGAAAAGGAAGGACCCCAGTCAGAAACCAACAAGCCGAGGGAAACCCGCCAGGGCCCTGAGTGTCCTGGCCTCCACACGGTCCTCTCGTGGTCCCATTCAGGCTTTAACTGCCTCCTTTGTGCAGAGGTGCTGGGGCGGAAGGAGGACCTCCTCCTTCACTGGGAGCACCAGCATAACTGTGAGGACCCTTCCAAACTGTGGGCTATTTTCAATATGGTCTCCAACCAGGGATTGATTGAACTTTCCAGTGAAGCTGAGAAATGAAACCCCAAGGCGGGCCGGGGTTGAGGAGAGAGCTCTGCCGCCACCTTCCCTCAGAGCTTCATGCTTTATGGTGGTGCTTAATCACAAAGATCAGACAACACGGGATCAGCGCGAGTGAGCAGAAGTGATTTTTGTACGTGGTTTTATTGTCTTAGGAAATAAAATACATGTTCTCCAAGCATTTTTTCTAACCATGTGCTGTCTTAATTTAAAATCATATGTACTGATTCTTAATATCTTAGACTTTCAGAATAAATAAAAATATGAAAATTTGGAAATTGAAATCTAGAGGAGTATAGGCTGTTCTTCAAATACAGCTCTCAGTGAAAACGTGTGTATGTGTCTTTACTTTTGTTCAGATGTTTTCTGCTTATATAGATTGATGAATGTCAAAACTTCCCAGGCAGCAAAGCCCTTTTAGTCTCAACCATAGTATCACGTTAGATGGTAAATGCTGATATTTATTAAATTCTCTGGTTTATTTGAATATAATACAGAGCAGTTTTTGAATAAGATTGTCATTTGCAATAATTTGAAATCCATGTTTTCAGGATTCAGATTTTTGTTTCTTGTAATTTAACTATTTTCTTAAATGCACATTTCCTTGAAGATTAGTTGTTGGCAAGTCTTACAGCTGTAGTGTTCCATATCAAAATAATTTTTTTAAATTTAGTACTTCAGCTAATAAAAAATCCACTTGCTTGGTAAAAAGTTATTTTCAAGTTGTCTTTGGGACAGAAAATTTACAACCTGGCAAGTGAACTAGATAGTTCAGTCCAGATGTATAGAGGTCTCAACTGCTTTCCCTCACTCCCAAGTAACTTCAGAGGGTTGTCGCTAGCTGATCAATTTTAAATGGAACTGTACCTTTCAAGCCCAGGTTCTCTTTGAAAGTCAAGAGTAAATGATTGCCTCCTAAATTCCTGGGAAATTACCTCGAATCAGTAAAGTTGTCATTTGAAGTTTCTGGCCATTCTGGCTGCAAAATCATTTACTTAGAAAAGTGGACTTCAGCACTCATCCTACTGATAATCGCAGCCTTGGATGAAAGCACCATACGTGTGGCCAGCCCTGTTTGCTGAAGCTCAGCCCAGGCATGTTCATAATATTTTGTGCTCAAGGAAGTAAACAGAGAACTAAATTCTAATTGATAAGCTAGTGGATCTTAAATCTTTTTTTAATGTCCAGTTTTAAAAGCCAGTGTACATAGACATGATTTGCCTCAAATAGTACAAAAAGAGAAAACTTTGTTTTTTTGCAAATAGTTTTGTAAATTTGAGAAGAGAGTAGGGATAGAAATATCTGAAAGATTGTGTTGTGGTTTGTCTACCGATCATACTTTACCCAGTTTCAAATAGGGAATATCAGACCTCCAGTGTTTGATAGTTTTAGAACTCTGGGTTAATAATGAAATCTCTTTACCATTCAAACCAGTTCCCAGTTTGTTTTTTGAAAGATTGGTCTTGAAGACGTCACCAAATGGCTTCTACAAAGAATACTACTTGAATTCAAACCATGGAACTTGAATTCAAACTATGGAATAATTCATAGACTGCTCAATCCTCAGATGCTAAGTCGTATTTTAAAAACGCTGGCCCATTGGCCAAGGCAGAGTAGTGAGTGTGGAGTACGTATGGAGACAGAGGACTGGGGACAGAATGCATCCACCCAGGACTCGTGGACAGTCTGAAGTCCCCTAGGTTGTGCAGGGACCCAACTGTGGCTTTTATCTTCACATATTCTTACAGCAAGGTCATAGGCAGTCTCCAGAAAGAAGCCCAGTGAGGAGTGGGGAAAAGAGCAAAGGTTTGGAGAAGATATGATGGGCTCATGATTCAGCACTCTGGCTGGATCCACATTTCAGAGCATCTCAGAGCAGCGGCCCCAATATGCTAACTAAATATAGGCAACTCAATGAGACTGATCCATGTAGAGAGCAAGGGCGCAGGTGGGGACCCATGGAAAAGTGACACTCATCTTTGAGAAAATTCTTTTTTTAAGAGAAGGAAGCTTGTGGGGCATAGGTCCCTCTCTGGAAGTCAGTGTGTATGGGTTCATTTGTGGTACAGTGTTACAGTTCTCAGCTTTTCAAAACTCCCCTTCCTTACAACACAGACAGCCCCAGTGCCATCCAAAATAAGGTATGCCTGGCCCTTACTAGTAGTGCTTCATTGAGAATGGTGGGAAGAGGGCTTCCTATGGGGGAGGCAGGAAGTCGAGAGGGTACTTAGCTAAAGTTACTTTGGGAACAGCTCAGAGTCTTTCTTGGGGTGGAAATGTTACTGGAACAGTCCCAACCTGTCTACTTAGGCCAGAGGTGGTGTGGTATAGAACAAAGTGCTCTCATACTTACTGTGTGTGGCCCTCTCCTAGGCTCCATTCCCTCCTCTGTGAAATGTGAGTGACGGTCCTACCTCAAGGCACTGTTGTGAAGAGTCAAAGAGACACACATGAAATGCCTGGCACCCGTGGGCCATGTGGTAACTGGTGGCTGGGATTTATTAGGCTTTTGGCCAGACTTGGGAGAAGAGGTATTTTGTACCATATAAAAGATAATTGTAGAAAGCTTGAGTAGACAGATCTTAAGTACAGAATTCAGGAATGGAAACTACTAGAAACCACAGAAGTTTGCATTTTTGCATGAAATGAACTAATTTTTAAACAAAAACTAGGATTTGGATTGCATGCAGGTTTGGTAACTGTCTATTCAATCAGAATAAAAAGCAAAATTCACTCAATTATTTCCATTCCAGCCTTCACTTTGGGGCTTGTATTGCCCAGGTCACAGCCCAGATTGTACCTCCTTCCTGCAGCTGCCCCTCTGCCCTGCCCTTGCCCTGTTCTAGCTGTGATCATAGCACCCACCTTGCTGTCCAGAAGCTGAGGGTGGACTTGCCCAACTCTCACACTGGATAATAAGCCTCATGAGGGCAGGAACTGTACCTGTGAACAGAGGTTCAGCACAGAGCCCTACAGGGTCCAGTGCCTGACATGGAATGGCGCACAGCAGATGTTTGTTGGGAAAAAAAAGGATACACCAGTTAAATAACAAAATTGCCACTTTCCTTTTTGTGTATAAACCAGCCTTAGAACCAACCAAACTTGTAGCTAGAAAGGCATGGAGACAAACTTGATCTTAAATTCAGCACATCCATTTTGCTTCATGTCTTTTGCTTCTTGGAAAATTGTCCCAATGCCAGCAAAACTAGATTTTTTTTTCCTCCTCTTTTGGCCCTAAATTATTTCTGAAAGTTATAGCATTTTCGATCTGTATTGTTTTATTACCTGTCATTTTTATTCACGTCCGCTTTTGTTGCGCGCGCGCTCGCTCTCTCTCTCTCTCTCTCTCCTGTCTCTCCTCTCTCTCACTGGACCACTTCCTAGTTTAGCTTGACTGTTCCTCTGTTAAGCTGTTCCTCATATGGAAAGTTGCCGCTTCATCAGCACACCATAAATAATCCAACCTGGGTGCGTTCCACTGCCTTCTCTGGCTACAGACTCCTCCCCTCCTCAGCTGCACGGCTCCAGTTGTCTGTGGCCCCTGTGACAGGGTTGTTGGCAGTAAATGTTCAACTTCATTTATTTCCTAGAATTCTCAGATCTGGACTGGTTTGCTCCATTCAAGCTGCTGACAAGCTTTGTTAGGTACATATTTTATAGCGTCTCCCCTTTTCACTGGGCTCCTGAGAAAAAGTGTCCTGGTGAATATGACCTGGAATTTAGCAGAATAGGTTTTTAGCTTCAACTTTATTCTGACTTCCCTGACACTGGACAATCAGCAGCTTATCTAGACTTGTGGTTTAATCTAATGTATATTTTAACAATATCCACCTCTTCAGGAATATTACTTCTAGAGGTGAAATATTTATTGTGTCTTATATTTGGTCACGGTCATGGTTATTCTTATAATAAAATTATAACCACAATTTTGGGGGCACGTTTTAAATTTGTGTTTAGTATGCAGACGTTGGCTTAGGAGTACATCACATTTTCCATGCTCTGAAGTGTGAAAATATTTCAATGCATTGCTTAACTGTAGGAAAAACGCTACCCATTGAAGGAAACCAAATGTGAGAAGTAAAAGATATACTGATTATTCCTTCTAATTTTAATGTGAAGCTAAATTTTCTTTTTCAGTTAAATTTACTCCTATCCTCAGAATTGCTCCACCCCCTTAGCTTAACAATGAGATGGCAATTCTTGCCATTTTTAGTATGTTCCAAAATCAAAATCTCAAGTTATTAGACTTATAATCATATTTTTTAATAGTCACTGAGCACTCCTCAATAAAAAGATTGTGCCTTCTTTCATTAAATATGAATTTAATCTCCACCTAGAAGTTGCAAAGAGACCACCAGGCCTTTGGAGAGACAAAGCACTGAATTTGGTCTGATTGCTGCCTGAATTGTAATGCATATCTTAATGCAAAAATTCACCCATGGAAGAGATCCAAGTAGCTCAAACACATGCACCCCGCATAACCACCCTAGAGCTCTGTCTGCCTCTGAAAGATGTTTAAGGTTTTGTGCTTAGGAAACTAACGTGCTATCTTCTCCCAGTCTAATGCAAATTAAAGCACAATTAAGGTTTTCATAAGGCATTCATTGAACCAAGCTTTTGGACCGTGATTATACCTAAGGAAAGTTACTCCAAAATGTCTGAGAAAACTAAGTCTTTCAAATGGTCTTTATTCTTTCAGGAAGTAAAAGACCGGGAAGGAGAAGTAGGAGAATGAGCCTACTGTGTCAAGATGCAGCATAAGGAGCTTTCTGGTGATGCACGGCCTGGTGGGGCACTGTAAGGGTAGGGGGACATGTCTCTAGTGTCCAGGTAGTACAATGCCACTCATATTTTGTTGTAACCAATGGAAGGAAATTTGGCAATGTCTATCAAAATCTAAAATGTGCATTTTGACCCAGGATACCTACTTCTAAGAATTCGTACCACACAGGTACACAGGTAGATAAAGATGTTCACTGCAGCATTGTTTATAGTTAGCAAAAGACTAGATGCAACTGAAATATCTATCACAGCTGGTAAAAAAAAAAAAAAATCAGTACACCTTATAATGGAGTACCATGGTGCAAAAGATTGAAGTAGCACTTTGTGCTGGAATAAGTATTGTGTGAAGGAAGCAAGGTCAGAAGAATGTATACTATGTTTAAAAGGGAAGAAAGAGGGAAAGGATGTATGTGTGCTCATAGATGCACAGAAAATTGACGGAAGGTGACTTTGCACTATTGGAATGTTTTGTTGCATTTAAAAACTTTTCCCATTTTATTTATATTTCATATTTTGATATTCTTGACATAGAATTTCAACATTATTTC